ATTTTTAAATAGCCTATCGTCTTCCCCGTATTTTTTTTACCTATGTATGGAAATTTTGGTTTGAATTAGTGAACAACTGGGAATTTGTATACCGGACATACAGACAAACATACAAACATTCATTTTTATATATATAGAGATATAGAAAAGAATAAATAAAAATATCACACATATATTAGATATTAAAAAATACTAGAAAATACGTACATATAAACTAAATTGATTAAATAAAAAAAGCAAAAGTATAAATATAAATGAAACAATTTATTTATATATAATTCCAAACATTTTTAAAATTGTCATATAGGGATAAATTGCTTCATATTTAAAACTAAATTTATAAAAATTAGTCGCTCCATATTTTCCCATTAGCTTAATCTATTCCAGCAGAGCGACCAAATGGGATTAGAAAAATGATTAAAAATTCACAGATTAAATAACAAGATGGGGTGCATGCGATCCTTATTTATCTTATTATACACGATTTAAGTGAAGTAATGTGAAAAATGAAGAAAGCTACATCTCTTTATGTGGTTTAATAAGGTGTTGCAACAAATCAACCTTCTCCCCCCGCTGTTTTCGTTAACTTTCTAATTTAGGGTTCGTCTGTTTTGTCCGCCATTTTGAATTTCTTTATTTCGCGCCCTAATTAGAAATAAATTTATTTTCAATGATTCCTTCTGCTTGCAAATGTAATTAGAATTGCAAATATGGTGGAATAATGGTTTACCTGTTTGATTAGAAGCGGTTAGTGCGTCTTTTGGTAATTATTTTTTTTGCACATTTTATATCTTTAATTAAAAAAATGTATGCAAAAAATTCTAATCTTATAAATTAACACTTATATTGCTTTATTTTTAAACTAGACGGGTGACCCGTGTGCATATCTACCCGAGTGATATATATTTAGATACGATTTTTTTTTATAATTGTTTGTTATTAGCATTATCTATTTGTTTGCATCAGCATAATTCAATCTAATCTTTGATAGAGGGCGTTGTTCGTGAGCTAAGTAGAATAATTTGAATATATAGTTTTAATAATTGATTTATATATTTTTTAAAATAGACTATCGTCTTCCCCGTATTTTTTTACCTATGTATGGAAATTTTATTTTGAATTAGTGAACTACTGCGAATTTGTATAGCGGACATACAAACAAACAAACATACAAACATTGATTTATATATATATATATATAGATAGATATACATATGTGCATATACAGCGTTGTTTATTTGAATATCGAATATAAATAAAAAGGGTATACACGTAGTATAATATTGTAACGTATAAAAATAAGAAAAACGAACTTTAGGATGACACATCAATTTATTTAAAGGCACAAGCACAAATTAAAATTGACAAAATATTCAAAAGAAGCAATGAGGGAAGTTTACGTAGAGTAATCAAATATATAAACATCAAAATTAATAATCTATTTATAAAATAATAAATACTTTGCTACAATATAAAATAAAAGATAATTAATCACAACATTTTAAAAAGTCTAGTCAGATTTTTAGCGACAAAAAGAGAGTTTACACATATATACCATATACTCCTGTGGAAGGACTGACAGGTCCGAAAGCTAGAGAATAAAAATTGAGCAAGAAACTTGGCCCTGGAGACTTTATTTTCTTTATAACATATATACCTAGTCTATACCTCAATCCTGTTAAAGAGAAAAATATTTAAACACGAGAACTAAACTTATGACTATTCATTTTCTTAGTTCAAATCAAAATACTTTTCTTCACGACTCTAAGAGAAAAAAAAGCGATCATTTAAAAGTACACTCATGAACAAAACTTAAAGAAGTTGTACCTTTTAACATGTATATCGGGATTCAGGCAATAACTCTGAAAGATATTACAGTGGCCTTTATTGAGGACCAAATGTAAACAAAATTGTCTCTGTCTCCTTCCAAAAAAAAAAAAAAAGATGACCAGCGACATCAAAGATTTTCTACTTAAGTTTTGTCCATGAGTGTGAATGAAGACTTACAGAAGACTATTCTTGATAACATAAAAATTCAGGAACATTACTTAAAAGCCACTTTAGTATGTATGTTGCCTTATTGGGGAGGACTGGATCCTGTTGATACATCCAATGATTGAAGAGAATATTTGTTTAGAGCTTTACCGTGGAAATCATTTTTAGTATTTGATTTCACCCATTTTAACAGAAATTCAGGGCAGTTGAATCTCCATAGGAGACTCCCTTCTAAGCCATCAATAAGACAAGGTAATAGTCACGCTGGATCTTTGAAGAAATCATGGAAGGCTTCCTTAGATGTATAATGTTTGAATACATGCCCTGTCATTAAATTGATTGAGAGTCTCTTCAATATATATTTCGTTATAAAAAATGATAGAAAAAAATAATAAAAAGGTCAGGTGTTGATATTAAAAATAAAAAAGGCATATCCTGACCAGGAACACATGTGCTTTACAGAAGGCAGAGCGCCATCTGGTGGAACAGAAATCAACTAAATATTGATTTAGCCTGTTCCCTAATGGCTTTTCTTGATTTATCAAGAAATTGGGTTGGCCAAATATCATAAAACAGGCTAAATCAATTTTTTGTTGATTTCTGTTCCACCAGATGGCGCTCTGCCTTCTGTAAAGCACATGTGTTCCTGGTCAGGATATGCCTTTTTTTATTTTTAATATTTCGTTATGTGAAAAAATAATATAAATAAAATAGGCATATCCTGACCTTGAGCCTTTTAGATGGAAGAGTGCCATCTAGTGGAACAGAAATCAATTAAACGTTGATTTAGGCATATTCCAAAATATTTTTCCAACCTATTTCTTGATTTTTTACCCTCGTCAGCATGGTGCAGGCTGTACTTCAACGAATAAAAACGATGACAAGGGCCAACAGACCGAAACGCGTTCGTGTTTGGCTTTTCTTGATTAATCAAGAAATGTATAAATAAAAGACAATTGGGCTGAGGGAAGAGTTTCTTTTATATATAACGGCAATATAAGTTTTCTGGTTCAACAGCCCTTCGACGGGTATAACTATGTTACTGAGGTTTTCCGAATCTAATCCATATATATATAATGAAGTAAGAAATATAAGATAGATATGCAAAAACTGTACTATGTAAATCATGTATATATATATGGATTAGATTCGGAAAACCTTAGTAGCGTAGTTATACCTGTCAAAGAACTGTTGAGCCAGAAAGCTTGTATTGCCGTTATATATAAAAAAAACTCTTCCTTCAGCGAATTGTCTTTTATTTATAATTTTATACCGAAGGGATTATATTAATAACAATCAAGAAATGGTTTGGCCAAATATTATAGAACAAGCCTAAATCAACGTTGTGTCGATTTTTGTTCGACTAGATGGCACTATGCCATCTAAAAAGCTTATGTCCGTGGTCAGGATATGCCTATTTTAATTTTAATATTTTGTTATCAATGAAAAAAAATGTTCGTCATCAGCAAACATGGGTAGGAGTGGTTTTGCTTTAGTGATGAAATTTCTCTAAATTCTTCGTCAAAAATGATCCTTGTTTATAGGTCTGGACATGTAGAACCTTTAGGCAATTTTGACAATTAAACATTGAGACGCGAATGTTTCCTTCACACATAAATTAAATTTCTACTGTCCTTACTACTGTCCAAGCCCTCCCAGTATTTTTTAATCGCAGTAAAGACAGTAGAAAAATTTTATTTATGTTTGAAATAAACATTCGCGTCTTAATGTTTTAATTTTCTATATATAGATGGCGCGTTATTGCTTTGTATCAATTTTTACAATGTTCGGGAATTTTTTCATCATTCCACAAGTCAGAGGCATGGTATTGACTTTCTATCAGAATTTTTTATCAGTTTATCACATACACTTTTTCTCAGCCTGTTGGTTTTCTATGATCAAAGAACTAATGAGCGAAGTAAGTCTTTTTGATGTGTCATGGCTATCTTTTAATGAAGTAACAGCCAACATTTCTTCATCAAGGCCTTGCGTGTCCGATAAAAAACAACTCGCTAACGCATTCATTGCACGCAAGGTTTTCATGAAGAGCAGTTGTTTTGAATGCTCTTTAACCCAATTTTATTCTCTTAAACTTATTCCTGGTGGTGGTGTCTTGTCCCTCCATGGAAAGGGGGTGCCATTGCCCCGTTAGTCAGCCACATTTCAGAGTTCCCCTGTAGGCCTTCACGGTTACCGTAGCGGCTCGGGGCTCACGGCACCGTACTACAAGGCAGTCCCTTACTTGTGCTGCTTCTCCCGCCCGCCACGTAGAGGAGGGGTTGGATTTCTGGGCAGTAAATTTATCCCTATTGCTTTTTTAATATCTCATGATTGTTAACACAACCAGTGATTGAAATTGTTGAATATATATATGTTAATGACACGATGGATCAACACCCTCGAAATTCCGAATGACTGGAGTAGCTTATCAATTACAGAAGGTTTATTTCCAAAATTACAAAGTCATATTTGTGGTGTATTTAGGTTGATTTAAAAGTAGAAATATATCTTAGGCTTTATTTATTTAAATGGCTTTTATTATATTACACCGTATTAGATGCAAGCTTAAGAATTACAAGTTAACAAACGAATTATATGATGATAAATTATATGTTATGATATATATACAATATCGCAGAATAATAATCTGTATATTTAATATTATTATTATATTGATATATTATATACAATATTAAATGATATAATTAAAATATAAATATACGACAATATTATATAGGATAATCGTTATAAGACAAAGTATTATAAAGCAATAATGCACCATCTATATACAGAAAATGAGAACATTAAGACATGAATGTTTATTTCACCCATCAATCAAACTTCTACTGTCCTTACTGCGATGAAAATAAATTGGGAGGGTTTGGTTTCAATATGGTAAACCCTCCCAGCGATTTCTCCAATTTAATCTACCAGACCGCCTCTTAAGAGCTCTAATACTGTATTGGATCATTCTGCTTATATATGCTACACTGAAGGGTGGTAATAGCCTACAGCACCCGGTGTTCCCAGGTGGTCACCCTCCCAAGTACTGACCGGGCCCGACATTGCTTAACTTCGGTGATCGGACGAGAACCGGTGTTTGCATGGAGACATCTGAGACTCTTCTTTGGACACGGCAACAACAACAACTGAAGGGTGGAATCTCAGAAATTGTATTAAAGCAAACTATGGACATACGTTTTTAGGACAGTACAATTACATATAAATATTTGCATCGAGCAATGCTCTGCCGCAAAGAATAAAGACAAGGCCAGTTAGGCACAAATTAATATAAAGAAATAACGGACCATCTATAAGACAATATAAGACAAAGTCCTTATGATTTTAGAACCTTCATCCAAGATTCTCGCGCCATGTTAGAAGGAGAGATTTAAGACTGTTATTCCGACATCACGATAACAGATCGCTGCTCGATCTCTGACGTTTCTCATTACTATGCAAATTAGAGCGGTTCTACCTTCTAATTAGTCAAGTCTGTCCCTCGTGATTCCTTTTGTGGAAACATTCTATCCATGGCGTGATATGGTACATCGTGAAACAGATAAACTAACACGCGAGATCCACGAGTAGCCACTGGACCATCACTCTTTTTGTCAGAAAGCTTGATAAATATTGCAGAGAATTCTGAAAGCCGTTATAAAGGTAAAGGCCTTTCCTAACGCCATTCAACATTCTGGATACATGCACGAGCTTTTGTTTGATGCGTTCTTCACGATCTTTCCTTTGACTAAACATCAAGACTGTCTCAATAGGATTGAAATACTTAAGAATTACACACACACACACACAAAAGCCTTTATTAAGACACACAGGTCTTACAGAGGATTCTCCTTGGGGTTACAAGACGGAGAAACCTATGAAAGTGGGAAATATACAAAGGGGTAAAAATGGAGAAAGATTATATACACATGGTAAATATATACAGATTATCTTTTGAATAATCCTATGGAAAATAAGAAAAACTTTTTTGGAAATATGGATGGGAGAAGTGGAGAGCGAAAAGAGGAAAGAAAACAGGTATTTACATATGGAACATACATATAAAATACTTAAGAATTAATATACTTCTCTTTTCGTATTTCCATAAAATAATCTCTTTTTAAAATATATATTCAATAGCCATCTATCGATACAATTTGTAGCAAGTGAATTTCCTGGAATGTGTTTCTTTTCAATAATTACATCATATAGAAGCTTATGTCCATAGGTTCACTAAACACACCTAAGCTGCCTTACATAGAAAATGCAGGGTATATCCTTGTACCAAACCAATCAAATACAATAGTAGAGCGATCTGGATGATTAATTTGGCGAAACCGCTGAGAGGTTTCATCACTAATGAGCTAAGCTCTTTCATTCAATAACTTACATCATTGCAGTAAGGTCTGTAGATATAATATTTGATGTAATTATTGAAAAGAAACACATTGCCAGTAAATTTATTTGTTATAAATTAATCTTCCTCGGTGTGGAACTGAGGAGTGTACAAGAAGACCTTGTCTGGAGGAGGACTCTCTCAAGGTGGGGAAGCCTTCCTTGCTGAAGACATTTGTATATATATTCCCCTACACTTTATATGCCCTTTTACTCTTTTATTTTTCCACCTTTGTAAAAGTAGATTAAAAGAATCAATACAATTGTTTAAATTGTTCATTGTATCAATATTTTTACCCTAATTACTCCGCTTTGAGAAGGTCATTACTATCATCCTTACTTCTCATGTGTTGGTCAATCTGGCATACAGAGACCGTGGTTCAATCCATGCCTGGAAGAACAACAATCGGTAAATTAAATTATTTTCAACTATCAACTTTCCGCTATAGTACAGGGGCACCATGCTTAATATATCCTATATAGCACATGTGCTCGTGGTCAGGAAATGCCTTCTTTATTTTTATATATATATATGTTATATTAACATATTTTTTTTTTTTTAAATATATTTCATAGATTCAAATATTTTGTTTATATCTACCACCAGATGTCGGGACTTTCCCTATATAAAACCGATTGTTGTTGTTTCTCGATGGCCGACTCAAATCTTTTGTACATTATGTAAATAAGTTTTTCATTTTTTATTCTTACGCCTTAAGCCATATTTTTCTCAAATTATGTTTTCTATATTCCATAAACTCAATTAAAGCTATTTCTAATCTTTACTATTTTTTATCATACTTTCAAGATTTTTAACCACGACTGCATTACCATAACATAATCATCAAGATAATCAAAGATCAACAGAAATCTCATTATTTTATAATATATGAAAAAACAATAGAAATAAATAAAAGATAAGTGGGTCGGGTGTTGATATTAAAAATAAAGAAGGCATCTCCTGACCACGAGCACATGTGCTTTTTAGATGGCAGAGCGCCATCTAGTGGAGCAAAAATAAACTAAACGCTGACGAGCGTCAACAGCGCGAAACGCGTTCGTGGATGGCTTTTCTTGATTTATCAAGAAATTGGGTTGGCCAAATATCACGGAGCAAGCTAAGTAAACGTTTAGTTTATTTTTGCTCCACTAGATGGCGCTCTGCCATCTAAAAAGCACATGTGCTCGTGGTCAGGAGATGCCTTCTTTATTTTTATAATATATATATATGTTATACATAAAGATGAATGAGATTTCTTTTGTATTTTGGAATTATATTGATACATTGAATTATTATTATTTGTTGCTTGATTTTTGTATGCATGAGTATTTTACGATATTGTTCTGCAGTGGTGGGAATAATAAAATCATTTTGAATCAGTAATTTAATTGAGTTAAAGGAATATATAAAAAAGACATAATTTGATAAAAGTAATGCCTGGCTTAAGGCGATTAGAATAAGGAAAACAAAATATTATTTACATAATGTACAAAAGATTTGAGCCGGCCATCGGGGAAGAACAACAACGAGTTTTTATAAGGGAAGCATGACCTCTGGCGGTCGATTTAACAGAGTATTTGGGTCTATGAAATATAAATTTAAATAGAATAATATATAAATGTAATATATATATAACAATGTTATGTACGAGGCTGTGTAATTTTAAAACAACCATTTTGTTTATAAATATACAATCAATAAAACATATTCAATTAATTTCCGTTTTAATACAAACTATGCTTCATTTCTTGATCTATCCTTAGAATCCATAAGATACATTTCGTTGATAAAGCCACAATACCAATTTTGACAAATTTAGAATGTTCATCTGGATATCATGGTTCGTGCTAATGGCATTCATCAGTCCAGGGCTGGCTTTGATTTCATGACATCCTCGAGGGATTCATTAAACCTTCATATAGTGTCAAAGATGTGCCGATTTTCTAAAGATAAATAAAGATTTTTGTGATCTGAAAAGGTAAAACCAAGCTCATCACAAAAGACGCTAAAACGATGCATCATAGTCTACATATGGTCTCATTAACTCTGTTCTTTAGGTGAGTGTTTTGAATTTTGCTGGTGTTGGGGCTTTGTCAACAATCCCAGTCTGCTAGATGTAAGAGAGATAAACATTTTATCTTTTTATATACATATATCTTCCTAGATGATTTTCACAATTAAATATAGCGACAATGACATCAATTTTCTCATTAAAGAACTCCCTTGGGTCCAAGCAGCAATTAAGAAATTTTATTAAATCATGGAATCGTGTGAATAAAATATCACACACACACAAAAACCTTTATTAAGTCACACAGGTCTTACAGAGGATTCTCCTTGGGGTTACAAGACAGAGAAACCCATGAAAGTGGGAAATATACAAAAGGGTAAAAATAGAGAAAGATTATATACACATGGTAAATATATACAGATTATTATTTTTGAATAATCCTATGGAAAATAAGAATATGGATTTGGAAAAAAAAAATTAATAAAATATCATTCGGATATGAAAATATATATTATTCTTGAAGATTATATTATAAAATAATTTGTGTGTGTGTGTGTGTGTGTGAGGCGAATACTCTCCCCTTTGTTAATAAAAAAACAAAAAAGTTCGGAATTAAGTTAAAAAACTTTTTATCAGGTTACTCTATTATAGAAATTATTAATCAAACCTGAGAGAAAACAAAGAAAGTGATGATTTGGTGCTGGTTAGAGAATCAGAAGAATTATTCCTCAAAAAATTACGAAATCGAGGAAAGAGGTTCACATCAGATGAGGCTGTTTTGACACGACATGTAACGTAATGGAATGTTATAGAGAATGGAACGATCAGAGAATGTAGAGAAAGAACATTCTTTATGATTTAGCGTTTCTTAGGGGCCATGTCAATCTTCCTTGTATCCATCCTATTGTAGTAGTTGTAACGCCGAACAAGTATCACAGGGGCCATGCTAATCTTCTCTGTATCCTTCCTATTGTAGTAGCTATACCGCCGAACAAGTATCACAGGGGCCATGCTAATCTTCTTTGTATACTTCCTATTGTAGTAGCTATACCGCCGAACAAGTATCACAGGGGCCATGCTAATCTTCTTTGTATACTTCCTATTGTAGTAGTTGTACCGCCGAACTGGTATCACAGGGGCCATGTTAATGTTTCTTGTATCCATCCTATTGTAGTAGTTGTACCGCCGAACAAGTATCACAGGGGCCATGCTAATCTTCTCTGTATACTTCCTATTGTAGTAGTTATACCGCCAAACAAGTATCACAGGGACCATGCTAATCTTCTCTGTATACTTCCTATTGTAGTAGTTATACCGCCAAACAAGTATCACAGGGACCATGCTAATCTTCTCTGTATACTTCCTATTGTAGTAGTTATACCGCCGAACAAGTATCACAGGGGCCATGTCGATCTTCCATTTATCCATCCTATTTTAGTAGTTGTACCGCCGAACAAGTATCACAGGGGCCATGCTAATCTTCTCTGTATACTTCCTATTGTAGTAGTTATACCGCCGAACAAGTATCACAGGGGCCATGCTAATCTTCTTTGTATCCATCCTATTTTAGTAGTTGTACCGCCGAACAAGTATCACAGGGGCCATGCTAATCTTCTTTGTATACTTCCTATTGTAGTAGTTGTACCGCCGAACAAGTATCACAGGGGCCATGCTAATCTTCTCTGTATACTTCTTATTGTAGTAGTTATACCG